GTCAGTTTTTTTAGTCTTTTGATCTTTTTTCCTTCTAAGCTATCAAATTATATTTCAAATTATTAGTTCTATATTACTTTTTTTCTTTTAAACTTCATTAATATTTAAAGATTATTATTACTCTTGTTATGAATGCTTTTATATGCATAGGAATACTATTTACGAAAACATCATCAAATTTATTTTTATTTTCATTCATAAATTTATCTTTAATTTTTTTTTATTTATTTGTTCAATTACATCATTTATTATATCATTTTCTATAATATTAATATCAATATCGATCTGTATAACTTATCATTGAAATATATTAAAATATATTAGATATGTATTTGATTTTTTTTATCACTAATATTATGCAAATAATTAAATTTTCGGATAATAGGTATTCAAACAATCAGATAAAAAGATAATAAGATTCGAATAATGGAGGTCTTACTGCATTTAATACTTACAAAATATGCTAAATTATTCATGAAATTATATATAATATTTGTTTTGTCTTTTGGTAAAACTTTTCTCAAAAGATATCTTAACTTATTTAATCAATAATAAATGACAGGAAAATGAAAATCTGGTAATGTAAATATAAATATTACAATATGAAATTTAATAGTTTTTTAATAGTGCTATTTTTCTCCATCTATGACTTGTTTCATTTTTTACATGACCAAATTCGAATCTAATTCTGAGCTCACCAATTTTTGATATTGGCAAAATATCTGGTATCCATTCTATTAAAAATGGCGTTGGTTCAACTTGATTCGGAGAAGTATTTCCTGAAATAAAATAAAATTTTGTATATCTTTATTTAATTTTTGTTATATATATATTAATTTATACTGTATTATTAAATTTAAGTATTTCTTACCAACTTTTAAATATGTTTTTAATTCTAAAGGTTTAATTAAAGCATTATTATTAGTTTTTTTATATCGATCTATTTCTGTTTCTTCTCTTTTATACAATTCATATGTACCATCTGCATTTTGCACGAAACTTCTCGTAATTTCCAAAGGTATAAGAGGCGTTTCGAAAATACTTTTAACGTGTAAAATGTTAGTAATTTGCCATGTGTATTTAGTAAAAGTACCTAATGGTACACCGTCTTTTCGAACAAATGCCGTTGTTGAATTTGGTAAACGTTTTTTTTTACCTCCACAAGATATTCTCTCTCGTAAACAATCAAAAAATATTTGCGGTACATGAAATACTAAAGGATCTGGTTTTCCATCAAATTGAAAATGCATAGTTTGATTTATTCTTTCTGTTATTGATGCAAGCCATTTGATGAAAGGTAAATTTATATTTGTTTCATCCAAATCTTCACAAGGATTTTGATATTTCTTAACAATATGTAACTTTGTTTTAGCTTTCCTTGGTTCTATTGAATTTAAATTATTCAAACTTGTAATATTTGTGCTTGTTGGTTTATCATCTCTTTTTCGTTTTGTCGAAATTGGTTGTTGTATGTTATTACTTTCTGTATTTGATATACTTCCAGTATCATATTGTATTAATATGTTTTTATCTATTATTTTTACATTATTTGTATTTGAAACAGTATTAACATCAATTAATTTCATGTTATTCACATCTAAAATTGCATTTGTATCAAGAATTTTTAAAGTTCCAGTATTTACTATCTTTATATTATTATCATTTAATATATATTGACTATTATTAAGCACATTGTATTTAGAATCTATATTTGTTTGATCATCTATCATCTTAACTGTGTTTTCACCAAGTTGCACATTATCTTGATTAATTACTTCTAAATTATTCACCTACATTTTAAAAAATTTATTATTAATTTATTATTTTAATAAAAGATTTAAATAAATAAATAATATTTTTTACCTGGGATATCATATTATCTTCCAATAAGGTACGATCACATTCTACTTCAATATTTTCAACAATACTATGTGGTAAAATTGTAGATTCTAAATTCATTGAATCCAAATCTAATCTATTTCCATCTAAACTTTGAACTGTTAAAGTATCATCTCGAAATATTAAAAGATGTGTATCTGTATCATCTGTAGTTAGACTATCAAGATCTAAAATTTTAATTTAAAATGAATATTTCATAAAAAATTAATATGAATCCTCTTACCAATGCCTACTATTTTATCTTGTTCATCATTATGTAATACTGTCGTTAATGATTTTGATATACTTAAATCATTTTGATCTAAATTAATATAATAACTAAATTCTTCTGACAATTTTGTATCACTAGCAAATGCACAAATACAAGCATAAAAATGTACGCAACGTTTATTTTGAGAAGATTGTGCTATATCTGGTTTATCTCCTGCTGTTTTTCCTGTACCCTAAATTAATTTTTAATATTGTAAATAATATTTTTAATTATAAATAAATTGTTTTTTTATTAATGCTTACTTTAAATGTAGAACAAGAACAAAAATAACGATGTTCAATTCTGTCTTTTAATTTTGTAACAAAAAGAGAAAAATGAAGGTAACCTAATGGATGTTTAGGTGAAGCCTTGCATTTTACTGCCATTATATTTTTAGACACACGTTGTACTAAAGGACCAGAAGTTTCTGTAGCTAATAACCAAATTTCTTGCTTCATTTCATTATTTACATTTAAAGATGATAGAATAGAATTCCTTAAAGTTAATGGCTGTGCTTCTGCATAACATCTTAAAGCTGCCTGTATATGTTGACATGCAATGACAGGCACATCGGATGAATTTTTTTCCTATAAAAAAAATATTAAAATTTTTATAACATAAAAGTCATTAATGTTAATATTATTTTATTTCAATAATATAGAGATTAATTTTTAATTTTATAAAACTTACATGACATTTAAGGACACTAGTATCAAAACTTCTTTCACAACTATCAACAAAACACAATGCAGTGGATTGTGAAATGAGTGTTGTCATTTCATTAGAAATTGTGGCATTTATTAATGGTAATTGAACAAATCCACGATAATCTGGACCTTTATCTCGAACTCTTACAGAAAAAACTTGAGCAGTTGTGCCCGTAA